CAACTGGCAGAGTAAAGTAGCTGTTGCAAGTTAGCTTGTTTGTTGCGAACTGATTGGCATGACCAAAGAAACTGTTATGAATCATTCAAGGTGTACTAAAGTAGCTGACAGAACCCCAGCAGTTACTGCCTTGTTTTGAAACCCCTGTACATGTATTCTTTATAATCCACACACACATGAAAAAGGACTCCACAACAACCAACAAACTTTGCATAATTTATATTATACATATTACAGTGATAATATTGTCATGATTCTGATTATGGTTAAGTAAACCTACCTTTCTTGGATTGGACTGGGTCTTTCTTCTTTCTACTTTGTTCATTGTTACCTACAGAGCAATAGTATGTGTATGTCCTGGTTTAATCTTTGTTATAAGGTAGCANGTATCTTTCCCTTTTCCATGATGTGCCTTTAGGATGACACAGACAAAGACAAGAAAAGAAAAGAAAAGAAAAGAACTATTGTAACTGGCATCCATTCTAGGGTTTCAAAATATTTCAAAATAGGTATCAGCAACTGGCAGAGTAAAGTAGCTGTTGCAAGTTAGCTTGTTTGTTGTGAACTGATTGCCATGACCAAAGAAACTGTTATGAATCATTCAAGGTGTACTAAAGTAGCTGACAAAACCCCAGCAGTTACTGCCTTGTTTTGAAACCCCTGTACATGTATTCTTTATAATCCACACACACAATAAAAAGGACTCCACACAACCAACAAGCTTTGCATAATTTATATTATACATATTACAGTGATAATATTGTCATGATTCTGATTATGGTTAAGCAAACCTACCTTTTTTGGATTGGACTGGGTCTTTCTTCTTTCTTCTTTGTTCATTGTTACCTACAGAGCAATAGTATGTGTATGTCCTGGTTTAATCTTTGTTATAAGGTAGCATTTTACATTTTAATAACTGCCCACAGCACTCTTGTCTCTTGTTGAAGCTTATAGATGTAAGTATCACATTAATTTCTTTGTATGTTGTGCTGTATATAGTATAACAGCTCATTATGTTAGAGCAGGGCCTGTCATGCTTCATGTTATTATATATTGTAATATTAGTATATTATTTTTTTTCTATGCAGTTGCTTTTATCCTGGGTTCTGCTCTTCAAGAAGCCAGCAAATTCCCCACCCACCCCCATATAGTAACCATTCTTTTTAACGAAAGACCTGAGAATTAATATTATTACCAAGTGTTACCTTGTTTTTTCTTTTTTGAAGGCAAAGATTTCTTCTCAGCTGTGGGAACTGTAAAAGAATGGCAGTTTAAATAGTGACACTCTTACTTTCCTCACAGCTTCATTACCCGACCATATTCAACACTTTACAGAATGATATACAGTGGAATCCTCATTTTTCCAACCTCGAAGGGAACAAAAATAATATTGGTTCAAAAAATTGGATAGTTTGAGAAATTGGGGCTAAAATTACACTGTTCAACCGAAAGCACTTTTGATTCTAGTTATCAGAAGGTTAAAAAAATTGAGGGTTCGAGAAATTGGGATTCTACTGTATACGTGTAAACCTAAAATTCTATATGTTATAAGGCTCCCCCTCCCACAAGTCTAGTATAAAAAAATAATTCCTTTACAATCCATCTAGTACTTGAAATGGCCACGAGAAATAGGGTTTACAAATCAGAAATAAGAATTGATAACAATCAATTCTTAGCGATCTTTTGCAGGACCGATGATGTTGATGTAGAATACAAACAAAAGCTCTCGACAAAACTTAAAAACTCAACAACGTTGACAACCTGTCAAGAAACATGTCTTTTTCAATTGGATATTTCATATGCAAAAGTTTCTACAATGGGCAAATGGCTCCTCTCAAAAACTGAGTTAGGTGTGATTAAACCAAATGTACATAAGGAAATAGTCACCGAAATTCCCAATTGCTCTGAGAGCATATTTAGTTGTTTTTTTACAGCTCAAAATGTTCGTGTGAAAGCAAGTCAACACTTTGAGGGTGATAAAACAAGGATTTTAAGATGTTTTAATGGAGGCATCAGCAACTGGAAATGAAATTTGTGAAAATGAAATTTACATGTATAAATTTCTGACTAAAATCACAATGACCTTTGAGCTTCTTTAAAAAATATTTGGGATCGAAAGTAACCAATCAATGTTTCAGTAAAGAACATAAACTTAGCAGAGTACCTTTTCCATTCCTTTCCTTCACTTGTAACTTCTCTTGNGAAATTGGGATTCTACTGTATACGTGTAAACCTAAAATTCTATATGTTATAAGGCTCCCCCTCCCACAAGTCTAGTATAAAAAAATAATTCCTTTACAATCCATCTAGTACTTGAAATGGTCACTAGAAATAGAGTTTACAAATCAGAATGAGAATTGATAACAATCAATTGGTACATGTAGTGATCTTTTGCAGGACCAATGATGTTGATGTAGAATACAAACAAAAGTTCTCGACAAAACTTAAAAACTCAACAACGTTGACAACCTTTCAAGAAACATGTCTTTTTCAATTGGATATTTCATATGCAAAAATTTATACAATGGGCAAATGGCTCCTCTTAAAAACTGAGTTAGGTGTGATTAAACCATATGTACATAAGGAAATAGTCACCGAAATTCCCAATTGCTCTGAGAGCATGTTTAGTTGTTTTTTTTACAGCTCAAAATGTTCGTGTGAGAGCAAGTCAACACTTTGAGGGTGATAAAACAAGGATTTTAAGATGT